TATTATTATTATTATTATTATTATTATTATTATTATTATTATTATTATTATTATTATGTGCTTCAGCAAACATTCTCTTCAAGTAATATCAATTTATACAGTTCTCCAAAGCAAGAAAATATGAAATAATTGAAACAGCTACATCAGAAGAGCTTGCAGTAATTTTAACCGATCGAGCCTACGAAATGAGGAAAATAAAATACGTAAAGGAGGCATTATAAAAACTATTTGCAATATTATAACTAAAACAATTCAAATATTGTACTGTAATTAGGAAGTAATATAACCCTTTTACATACTTACACTACTTGAAAAAATTAAAGAAACAAAAAATGTTCATGAATTTTTAAGTGATTTTTGAAAGGCTGTATCTCAGTGAAAAATGGTCGTTTGGAGATGAACAAAAAAGCATTTTGAACTTCTAAGTCTAGTTTCAAGATCTTTAGACAAAACATTTTTTTTTAAATTTTTTTTTAGGACTGCCCATGGACTTGGAAAAATTGTTTCAAACTCAATCAATTTTCAAAATCAGTGCTTATTTATTCAGCTCTAATTTGATTTTTGAAAGGTCTTTGTGCAACTATTGGTTGTCAAGATATCGATAGTATAACACATTTGAATACAAGGTGTTAAAAAAAGAATGTAAAATATTTCAGGAGGTAATAGTATGAACCAAAATAAGCAGAAAAGTCTTAATCACCATGGGTCCGCAAAGTAACGGTTGCGGAGATATGGACCACTATTCGTTTTTCAAACATTTTATTTTATTAGGAATAAACCGACAAAGGAAGCTTTTAACAAACAAAAAACAAAGTTACAGAAGATATTCAAAGTGCCCTCCGTCCATTTCCAAGCAGGCACAACATCTTCGTCTCAACAATATTCGAACTCTTTCGAAAACACCCTCCTTGGTTTGGATTTCTTGACACTTTTGATTAATCCATAGCTGCAGCTCTTCCAGGCTATTTACAGAAGTACCATACACTAATGTCTTCGAATATCCCCAAACAAAGAAATCTAGAGGGTTCAGATCAGGCGATCTTGGAGGCCATAAAACAGGTCCGGCCCTTCCTACCCATCTATGTGGAAAAGTTTGATGTAAATGCTCTCTAACGGCCATGGAAAAATGAGCTGGAGCACCATCATGCTGGAACCACATTTGTTGCCTCTGATTCAAAGGAATGTCTTCCAAAAACTCATACAGTGTGTTCTGCAGAAAGTTGAGGTAAGCAGCGCCTGTTAATCGGTTTGGTAAAACAACAGGACCTAGAAACCTGTCACCTACAATACCCATCCAAATGTTTAATGAAAAACGTGCCTGATATCCAGATTCTATTAGAGCATGAGGATTTTCGTCGGCCCAAATATGCGTATTGTGAAAATTAAACACTCCATTTCTTGTGAACCCGGCCTCATCAGTAAAAAGAATGTTTGCAAGAAAACGAGGGTCTTCAGCATCATGACGTAGAAACCAGCGGCAAAAAACTAAACGTGCTTGATGATCATTTATTGGATTTAAGGCCTGTACTCGTTGCACATGGTATGGATAAAGCAGTTGCTCGTGAAGGATTCTCCAAACAAGAGGACCACTAATTCCTACCTCGGCTGATATTCTCCGCACATTCGTACCTGGATTCTGCTCTACCAGTGCTAGAATTTCTTCTTCTGCTCTAGGAGTGGATACCGACCTTGGTCTTCCGGATAAATGGCACTGTTTGCTCAAGGAACTGGTATCACGCAATATTTGGCGAATTCTTCCAAACATGCGTTGTGAAGGAATCTGGCGATTTGGATAAGCGTCAACATAAAGACGTCATGCTTCGGTGGCGTTCCCATTAGCACGACCATACATGCATGTCTGTTAATTCTGTGTTAGAGTAACCAGCCATAGCGAAAGAAAACTTGTGCACTGAGAACAACTGTCAAATACGTACTGTTTATTTCACTAAACATCAACCAACTATTATAAGAAAATACACGTTTTTGCAAAATAAAAAAGGGGCTAAAAAACATAAAACATTCCATATCTCCGCAACCGTTACTTTGCGGACCCATGTTTATTGAGACTTTTATGCTTATTTTGGTTCATACTATTACCTCCTCAAATATTTTACACTCGTTTTTTAACACCCTGTATAGTTAGCTGTGTGGTTGAATTAAATATAGCGTGCTTCAGTGAAAGTTCTGTAAACGAAGCAAGACCTTACTAGCTCTATCTCTCTCGCACACGTCTGAGTGATTGCCGTTTATATAGGCAAAATGACAGTTGGGCGAGTCCAGTAGTTTATAAGGTCTATGGTTGGGACAGATGGAAGAAAAAGTCAAGAGATTGACAGGAGAAAAAGGAAATCAGGAGTCTTGAAGAATCAGTTTCTCCAAGAGATTAGTGAAAGCAGAAGTAGTCACTACAGAGTTGGCCATAAAACTGAATGCAGAAGTAAACTTAAGGATCTAAGGTCAGATATCTGCTACCGTATCTCTATCCGCGAATTTCCACATTCCTTTTGGAGACACCGAGCACCACCACATAGTTCTCAGATTTAGAAATTTTTGTTAGCCGCCAGGTCAATTGTCATTGGTATCGAGTAATAAATATTGTAATAATCTACTACGTATCAGTTCTTCCTGTACCTCCACCGAATTTCTTAATTATTGTAAACCTAAACCCATAGGTCTAGGGAAGTACAATGGACCGTGAATCTTAATACCTATTCTTAACGTTTTTTCTGTTTTATAATAATTGAATCAGAGTTTTTAATATCACATAGATTCAAGTAAGTAATTATTCAGTTTGTAGTACATATATCTTATTGTGTAACATATTACTTTTCAGAGTTGTATAGTACCTACTTATTTAAAATGATAAATACGGCTAAAAAACACTCACTCATTCGTCCATAATCTTAATAAAGTTGAGATCCATTGCACTTTGATTTTGAAAGCAGTTGCAAAACTGTACGAGACGATGTCTAGAAAATCAGCTGTTTCGTTACAACGTCTGATTGGTGTGTACTTCGCTGGTCTGTGCAATGCGTTCTCTATTACTAAGTGGTGCCAAATTAATGGGATTATTTTTAAAAGGATGAGAATTTTTTTTTCGATTTTCTGTCTTTATTAAGCCTTCCGAATACGTGGTTAAAATTAATGACATTTATGACTGAAACATCCTTTATAATTTATATTTTCTTAAATATATTTAAAAAAATGAGGATGGGGAATTTCTTCAGCAGACACATAACACCGATAAACATTTTTTATATATAATGTTTGAAAGGCAATTAGCACTAAAAACAATAAACAACATAGAAAACAATTAATACACCAAATTATTACCCCAAAATTAAAATAAAAAACTCAAGATAAAAAGACTAGCGATCTGGGGCAAGTGCCTTCTAAAACGAATTTCTCGGTTCACTGCCTGATTCTGTAATAAGCCCATCTCTAAGTGACAAATATAATATTAACAAAGTATGTTTTATAAACAAAATTTCTGTGCAGACATATACTTAATAAACAGTAACATGTGTGTTGAACATGAACAAATTTCTTTCATACATAATTAAAAAATAAATTTAAAATATATGTACCTCTGGTTATCAGAGTTTTCTGTTATCCAAGATAATTGTTGCTCACGTTATGTCGGATAATTGAGGTTTTATTGTAATCAAAAAAATGGTAAAAGCTTATCCTTGTACCTTGTATTTCAAAATAGAGTGTTTGCAAATCTATGTTTATATTAACTTTATTTTTTATTTATTTTTATCTCTACACACTAAATTTCCCTTTCTTTCGGCTTAGGCAAAATGAAAAAAAGTATGAATTTTGATCAGATTTTTTCTTTTTGTGTGAAAGTGCCCTATTACATCGAAAATGGGACATTTCTATAAGTTCTATTACCACTGTAGTAAAATATTTAAATCATAGAGGCATGGATATGAAGTTATAACATATAATGTTATTTAAGATATTGCAAATTATATTCATTATTATTAATATTATTTGTGAATATGTGAATATTCTTATATGTACTATTGAATTTTACTAACCTAAGGAATATGTTGTTGATTTGTTTCCGAATAAAAGCCCTAAGACCAAGGAATTTTCCATATATGCGATGTAACACTGTCTTTAGGAAGTCTCGTTCTCTAGGGTCTTCAGAATCAAATAACTCTAACAGCTGAAGCACAAACTTTTGGTCGATCACACGTTTCCCTATAGTTGGCTGAAAATCCGAGCTCTCTAGAAACCTCAAGAAGAATTCATAGACCAGTTGTAGGTGCGGCCAACTGGCCTCTAGCGTGGGGTCATCCTCCTCCGGATCAAAGTCTGGGTTCTCACTAGGAGGTAATGTACGAAAAAGATTGGCCGATATCTGCAAAAAGAGAACAATATTTATGAAATACCATCCAAATTAATGTAATTGTGTAAGGGCTGATGACATTAGCTCTAGTCACTTAATTTCTATTACACAGTACTGGCCATATACAACAAGAATAGAGCAATTTTTACAGTTGTTAGATGAAGAAGCAATATTTCAAATAACGTTTAGTTTTCATCAGTAGAATAGTCTGTTCCACCAAACTTTCGACAACAATGCAATTTCTAACTCTTTATCTCTCATTAAGAATTAGTGTTATAAATTTCTTTCTCTTTATAGCAAACGTTGTAATAGAATCATGGTCAGTGGTGTATAAAATAAAAGTAAAAAAATTTTTTTTTTAACAATTATTAATCTTTAATATTTTAAAATTACTGATGATTTTTCTGATCTTGAAATTTTTAAAATTACAATCTGTCTAATACAACACATTTCAATTTACAGAAGATCAAAGAAATACTTCTTAGATTATTATTGAACCTTAATAAAGATATTAGGAAATTGCCTAGCACTAATGTTTAGAAAAGAATTTTGGCATTAATACAAAGAAAAAATAGATTTGGCACGATAACGAAATAAATTTACAAAGTAATGATTCACCTATTCAACTTACATTTCTAAGAGTCTACGGAAGAAAATTTCTCAATTAATTATTAGTATCTTAAGTAGTATTACTAATTTATAGTTTTATTGCTAGTTTATTCAAGTTTAATTGTACATTTTATAGTGATATCTTTCATAATCACAATAAGAAAAATATCATAAAACATTGGATGACAATGTAATAAATAAAGACCGGATTATATGCAATCAAAAACCTTTATAATATGCGCATATATATGCATACAATTTTTTAAATATATGCACGATTTATGCAAAAGCACCATGAAATATGCAATGACTAATTCCATGGCTTTTCTTTGGCAAAATTATTTTTTTCACTAAATTATAAGCAATAGGATATAAAATAAACAACTAAACGAATTTTAAACATGTATTACATAGTTTACATTATTGTACAAATATATGCATAAACGTAACTTAATACTAAACTACAAGATCAATCTGAAATATTTCCTACTATAAAATTATGCCTTCGGTCACTAAGAATATGTTTATATAAAGAAAATGATCTTTCTACATCAACCGAAATTACAGGACAAAATTTTAAGTTTGGAATTAAAGCCGGTTCAATATCCAAATTTTCTAAAGTTATACCGGACATTACATTTGAAGCCTGAACTAAAACATTATAACCCGGATTTCTTTCAATTACCCCTTCTAACTTCGTAGCTACGGCCTTTCCTACTTCACCTCGCACTTGCTTACAATTATATATAAATTTTTCTACTATATCTATTGACTGTGGCAGGCTTTTAGACGTTCCTTCTAATTTTAAAATACTTTCTGGTACAAAACTATAGTTACATTTAATGTAAATCAATTGCTGTTCAATTTCAGAATTTTGAAGAAGTTGTTTGCATTTTTGAATGGATTGGGAATCATCTTCAATTTGTAAAACTAACTCTTTAAATTTTTGGAAATTATCTGCATAAAATATTGCGGCTCGAATCCAGGTGCCCCACCTGGTGATAACAGGCTCAGGTGGTAATGGTGTTTCGGGTAAATACGCTTTATAAAACTGCACCCTTAATGGGGCCTTTAAAAAAATTTTCTTCCCATTAGCAATTAAATCATTGACCAATGGGAAGGAAGTTCTAATGGTCTCTGCAGCCCTATTGAATCCATGGGCTAGACAAGTTACATGAATTAAATTTTCATAAAATATTTTTAAATTCCGCCCTGCCTTTAACATATACGGTGCAGCATCGGACAACAGAATAAGAACTTTATCTGTAGGGACTGGATGTGGCAGATAGAAATGTGTTAATATTTCTTGAATATAACGGGTAACTGTTAGGTTGTTTGTTTTTTCAAGTTCTTTTACTGCTATAAGATGAGGTTTTCCAGGTTCTTCAGAAAGTTTTCCAATCATTAGATTAGCTATGTAACGACCGCAAGCATCAGTTTTTTCGTCAAAAATAATATATATATAGTTATCTGCAATTTCTTTCTTAATTTCTTCTATCACTGAAGCATATAGGTACCTTTCCAACGACGTTTTTTCTTAATGTAGATTCATCTGGAGTGTTAAATTTGCAGTACTTTTGCAGAAATACCTTCACTTGAGGGTTGGTCATCTTGTGGAGAGGAATATTCGCAGCCAAAAACATTCTGCACAAATCTTCATTAAATTTGGTCTGCCCATGGTGTTGATTACTGCTGACTTCCACAGCTTGCTTCAACGTTGACTGAACAGGACCCAATTTGATTCTGTTAGCCTTAGAAATGTGGGACGGCATCTTGGCGTGCTGGTCTACTTGGAATTTCTTCGAGCAGGAAACAATTTTTGAACAAGCCTTGCAAAAAATGCGATCGCCATCCAAAATAAGTTCTGGATACGGTTTAATCCACGAGGCACTTTGAATTGTTGGCATATTCGCCACGTAATTCACATTCACTTTGTTTGGGCACACTTTAGGTGTTCGAACTACTGCAACCACACTGATACTAGTAATTTCAAAAAGGATGAAAATAATTTATAGTAGAGGTATAGTAGGTATTCAAACCTCAGCTTAACAAAGCTATAAAAATCTATTAATATTTACCTGAATATTTTTGGATTATTGTTGGGCTTAAACTTTTATGACTTTATGTAGGTATTAAACTATTTTAAATATTTAATATCTATAATTAATTATTATTGGGTTTAAACTTTCATGGCTTTATGTAGGTATTAAACTACCTACCTGTCCGAATGCCCATGATAAGTAAATGACAACAAAATTTCTTTATTTCTACTTTCCAAAAATAGAAAAAATAACGTAAATATGCAAGATATGCAAAGAAATCCTACATATGCATCAAATGACCAAATTTGAAGATATATGCAAAATATGCATAAAATATGCAATTGCATAAAATCCGGTCTTTAGTAATAAATGATATTAAAACATTGTAATCACTAATCAGTAACTTTATAATAAAAAGAAATTAAAAAATATTGCAATTAAAATGAAAGAACAAATAATAACACAGGCCAACAAGGAAAAAATTCCAGAGATCAGACACTACGTTTTATTGAATTACGTACTATTTGGCGCGCTGAATCCGAATCTGGCCCCAGAATTGATCCATCACCCTAGGTTTCCGAGATATTCTAACCTAAAAGTGCAAAAAGCACGTATTTTTGCTTTTTTCAAGGTTATGTAACTTGGCGAAAAAATGGTTTTTCTCAAAACTGAAAATATCATTGGAAACTACTATCTTTCCCCTTCAAAACGCATTTTTTTATTTGTAAAAAGCTTTATTTTTCGCGGAGATATCGTCGATTAAAGATGATCAGTATAGCTATTGATCAGTATAGCTACTTTAAACCACGGCTCGACATATAACACAATATCACTAAGCGCTACGAGCCTTAAAGGGCTCGGGTTATTGGGTAATAGGGCTTGAAGTTAACCTTCCTGACGATTAGGGCTCACTGCGCTTAGTGTTGTGGGGTTATAGGGCTTGGGATTAACCTTCCAGACATATAGGGCTTGGGGTTAACCTTCCTGACGATTAGGGCTCGCAGCGCTTAGTGTTATTGGGTTATAGGGCTTGAAGTTAACCTTCCTGACGATGAGGGCTCCCTCCGCTTAGTGTTGTGGGGTTATAGGGCTTGGGGTTAACGTTCTTAACAATTAGGGCTAGCAGCGCTCAGTGTTATGGGATTAGCCATGATGTAATAATATAGCCATATTGGTCATCTTAAATTGACGATATCTCCGCGAAAAATAGAGCTTTTTCCAAATAAAAAAATGCGTTTTGAAGGTGAAAGATAGTCGTTTCCAATGTTTTCAGTTTTGAGAAAAAAATTTTTTTCGCCAAGTTACATAACCTTGAATATAGCAAAAGTACGTGTTTTTTTGCACTTTTAGGTTAGAATATCTCGGAAACCTAGGGTGATGGATCAATTCTGAGGCCAGATTCGGATTCAGCGCGCCAAATGCCTTCGGAAGCTTAGTGTCTGATCTCTGGAATTTTTTTTTTTTTAATTTTGTCGGCCTGTGTAATCGATCTAATATAATTCTGTATACTAGGTATAGCTACATATGTTCTAGTGTTATTTATTCGTAGTTTAATTATAATAAAAATTTCCCTATAGAATTCGATATATAAACATAGAGATACAGTAAAATAAAAGTGTTAGCAATTATTTCAATAACAATTTGTATCTCTCCAAACTTATTGTAAGCAAATTATGATAGATACTTGCAAAACTGATATACTTATATGATCAATAAAATTAATATAACTTTCTACATAAAAATTATTATCAATACGATTCACCTGATTTTCATTGAAAACCATACTGTATGTTTACTAAAAGATAAGATAATTTATAACCTTGCAGCCTAATTAAAGACAGAAATGCCAGCTAGAGCCACATTATATTAACAAATATATATATTTTTAAATAAAACCAAAAAAATTGTGCACTGAAAATATTTTCATTATATAATTGATTTTGATACCAACTTTCAATCTGATATTTCCTATTATGCCATTATTTATGTTATTATAGCCAACATAGAACACAAAAGTATATCTCAGAATGTCAACGGACAACGTTAAAAGTATGGAACTCTATGGAAGATTTATGAATTTCAATAATGTTTTTATTTCTTACATTACTCAGGTTAAATTTGATAAAAGAGTATGTATGTATGTATGTATGTATGTATGTATGTCGGAGGGGTGGTGGAATTGTCTTCCACCACAGCACTTAGGCCTTATATTAGGATAAAAGAGTAATATAACAGAAGAAGAAGTTATTCCCTATCCCAATTTAAACACTTTGTCTTAAAAAGACTATTTGTCTACATCATTGATTTTTCAATTTTAATTAGAAGGTTAAAAGCGTGTTAATAACAAATTAAATACCTTGC